TTATCCGATGATTCCCGATATATCAAAGCCACGACGTTATCACCTCTCGAGCTGGATGTTGTCACAAACAAATTAAAGAATGGGAGAACAAGGCATTATAAAACCAGCAAATCAGATTTCGCAAGCCGATTGTCTTGCTAGAAAAAGAATGGAACGTACAGATTGTGTGTTGACTTCAGAAGACTTAACAGAAGATTATTAAGAAAGATTCCACTGCCTTTGATAGAAGATCAGATAGATCGTCTAAGCACGCTAAGTTTTTACATCACTTGACTTACAAATGGTTTTATGCACGTTGATGTTTGCAGACGAAAGTCAGAAGTATACCTCATTCGTGACGCCTCAGGGCCAATATGAATTTATTAAGATGCCTTTTGGACTTCAACAGCACCAAGTGTTTTCCAGAGATTTGTGAACGATGTTTTTCAAGAATTAATTAACGATGGTACAGCGTTGGCGTACTTAGATGACCTTATCCTGCCCTCAGTGACAGAAGTAGAAGGTATTGCTAAACTTAAGAAAATATTTCGAAGAGCAGAAGAATATGGCTTAATTTTTAATTGGGAGAAATGTCACTTCCTAAAACAGAAATAAACTATCTTGGTTACATTGTTCGTGAAGGAGAAATCAGACCGTCAAAGAGAAGATAAACGCTGTTGCAAATTTTCCCGTCGCGAAGAACATCAAAACTTTCAATCATTCCTAGGGATTACGGGATATTTCAGAAAATTTGTCATTAATTATTCACTAACAGCTAACCTCTCACTGAATTACTGAAGAATGAAGTCGTATTTGATTTTGATCTGAATTGCCAGAAAGCGTTGAAGAGCTTAAAACATGTTCTATGCAGTTCACCTGTTTTGAAGATTTATGACCCAGACTTGAAACTGAAGTCCATACGGACGCAAGTGCCGACGGTTATGGAGCTGTATTGCTTAAAGACAAGAAGATGCACCCTGTCTATTACATGAGTAAAAGACTTCGAACTGAGAGAAAGTATCACAGTTACTACTTAGAAGTCCTAGCTATTGCTGAGGCAGTAAAGAAGTTTTCGGGTTTATTTGCTCGGAATAAAATACGAAATTGTGAAGAAAAAAGAAACGATCGATATGATCTGAAGAAAATTGGTTCAGGCGAGGGACCGATAAACATATCTAGTTCCGCCGATATGATGAAGCCATGGAGTTCAGGTGATAATTCTACCGACTCATCTGAGCAGATGAGTAGCAGGATAGTCGTGTGGGAATGATGTTATTAATCGATTGTTTTGGTTTATTTTGTCTGTGATTTGGTAGCAACACTAAGATAGATCAAGAGTAGGGAGAGATTTATGTCATGTAGATGACGTGTGTTGATTTGTAAAAGAAAATACAGAATAATAGTTAAAACGGACTTTCTTTGGGTAAATATTCCTACATATATATAATACTAGCTGAGACCCGCGGTGTTACCCGCGTTTGTTGTTATAACCGCGGGTAACGCGCCGCGGGCGAAGCTAGTCTAAAAAAAAGTAGCCTAAGATACTCCCTATCTCATCAGCTATCTTCCAGTGAAAGTCCCGTCGAAATCGTCCAGCCGTTCCAGAGATTACCCGGAACAAACAGACAGACAGACAAAAATTGTAAAAAATGTTATTTTGGTATATGTAAGTAAACATACATATGCATTTAGTAAAAAGCGGTTATTTTAATATTACAAACAGACACCAATTTTATTTATTTGTATAGATATATTGCACGGCCGCTTTTTGTAACCATCTGAACTCGGCCGAGTTATTTACGAATTGCAATGATTGTCAGTATTTTAATTGTATTTCGTTAATTATTTAGTGTAAAGAAATGAAATATTATATGTCCAAAGTTGAATAAATGCACTTATTATTGGAATAGGTTCTATTACGCATTTCGTTTAGAATCTCGTGCAATAAGACTGCATATGAAACAGTGGTCCAGTCACAGTAAATTATCCATAGCTCATTCATTACTAGGAGTACATAAATGATACTTGGTAAGACGTTGTAGATGCTTAAAAGGTCTACGTTATAAACTAGACCCTAGTGCATTAGCACCAAGTACTAGAACCTAATAACCTTATTTTACGTAAATATTTAAATCTTTGAATGATATGGGTTTTTTTAAATCCATTTTTACAAACAATATAAACAAATTCAAAGCGTATGAAAAAATCTACAGCTCTCTAGAAAAGCGTTTTATATGAAATCTAGCAAATTTCCAAATGTTGTCGCAGCAGAAACTGGAATATCTTCGCAGTTTATTGACGCACAAATTTCATTTAAACATACACAATTACTTCACGTCATACACTAATTATCTGTTAAACTCAAACAATGAAATTCGAACTTTTTTCGCTGGGGCAACGCACACGTCCGACGCGCAATTAGCACAAGTAAGAGTTCTAATGGTGCAAAACTTTGTACGTTACTGAATTGATGACAATTTAGCAACGAACTACTATATCGTCTATGAATCTACAAGTAGTACAGTCTATATAAAGTTTATGTTTTGTGTTGGTACATGTTTTCGAACTGCTGCCTCTAATTCTAAGCCTATCCATTGACGCCCATTTTCTAGTTTACGATGACTAACAATTTTGGTTGACTTAATGAAGTCGTTTTCACTTAATTTTAATTCGTCCTTGATATTCTGACGATATAAGGCTGTTAGGAAGACACGATCTTCCGTAGAAACCGGGTACGTCTTTTTACAATTATACGAGGCCTTAAGCCTTTCGCTTTTTCTAATCGTAACCCTACTGATTTAATGGCGTCTACAGATTCCAGTTTCTTAAGCTGCCTTTCGTTAGCTACTCGTAACATGACGCCTGCCTTAGCGGTTTCTTTAATGCGTATAATTTAAAAACCTTCATCGCTCGGTTTAATAGCCTTCATTAGAGCTTGTTTCGTTGCTGACGAAGTCGCATTCATCCACTGAGCGTTCCGCAGTGGAATATGCAATAACACAGGGCCTTGGATTTAGGTGGTAAGTGAACATTAAGTTTGTTCGTGTACGTAAAACTCGTTTGTTGATTTGCGATACCCTCCATTTGACGCTCAAAATTCGCTAACTTCGTTTTGTTGCTAGAGGATTTTATTGCAAACAAGGATATGAGTTCGGAGGGTAATTCTTTGGCCCTAGCAGAAGCAGGCCGGGGTGGTCGCGAGCGCGTTGCGAAGCGCGCTCGCTTCCAGGGAGCACAGGGAACATGGGTTTTCCACACGGGGGGGTCGTATACTCGTCTGTAGATGACCCGAGGTATGTCGGGGCACCAGGGACTTCCTTTCTAGGGTATCCCTGGTTCCCCGGCTATTAGTACCCGAGACGGCGTGGGGTTTTAGTCGGTTCGAGTCCGACATCCCAAACCGACAGGTGGTATCCGAGGGGATTACCGCACGGAAAAAAAAAGGGTAATTCGTTGAGTAATGTTCATAATCGCCGTTTATTATCTAAATTCATACGTGATCCTTGATCATTAACCAATTCGTAATTTTTGCAAATAATCGGTAGCCTGTGACAGTAACTCGCAGTAATTATATTTCCTACAGCTATCACGACCGCTAAGAGACAAAAGATTCCCACTTATATCCGAAGTATTACTGCGTTTACATCTATTGTCTTTCGGCGAGAAATCCGTAGGTAACATGGGTGACATTTTACTAAATAACCTTTTCCATTTTCTGTTAGAAATTTTACTTGTACCGCCGGGATCCGGCAACTGGTTAACAACCGGATTTGGACCTGGATTTGAGAGAGTCAGCAGGAGGGTAGCCTCTCGGTAGCTTTCTCGCACCTGGAAATCTCTTATCTCTGGTCTTATATCTCATGGTTACACTACAATCTATCGTAGAACGCAACACATTGTAATTATATATTTATTCTATAAAATACAGAAAAATTCACGTAAAATCATCAAAAAAAAAAGAGGTACTATTTTGACAGCTGACTCTAGAGCCCTAAATAAAAGTGGTTTACTGATACATTTATTTTGTCTCTTTTTCTAAACAATTTTTTGCGGAAGCTTAGGTTTCTCACTTGCACATAATAATATTGTTCGTCATCATAATATCGATAATACCTATACCTTTTAAAATCTATGACAATCAATCACAATATTTTAATAAGATATGTAGGTACGCGGATTCATTTAGGGGTTTTAAAAAGCTCTTATTTTTGTAGTGTTTTATCTATGGCTCTTTAGTCTTGAACACTAGAAAAATGACAACCCCAAACTCTGACAAAGGGCGAAACTGTCAAATGTCAACGTTTTTTGTCTATTTGCTGTTTGCAATATTAGTTTTTATTTTATCTATTTGCAATGTTATTTTTACATTAAAAGTTAGATATTACCAAAATTCAATGCAAATAATCGTTTGAATGTTTCATATGTATTGAGAATCTTTGATTATTTTTAAAAGCATAAAAATATTGATTTATATGAACTACTTTCATATCCCTCTCCCGAAAGAAAAAAATTTACAAGCCGATGACAGCCATGACAGACGAAAGGATAACACGACATTTGCTAACTGTATCAGAGTTCACAAATATTTATTCTAATTCGCTTTATTTAGATGTCCACGACTCGTTTTCGATTACTCATAGCGTAAAACGTCTAACGTGTTTGTGACTAAGGCGTCATAATTAATTCGCGACGTTAACTCGAATATTCTTTGTGATCTGTGGTTGTTTTTGTTACGTCCACCCGGAAACTTCGCTTTGTATTGTCTATGATTTAACATTGTAAGGGCTTTAAATATACTTCAAAATGTATAAAGTTTACACAAAAGATCACAGAACTATTTAATGGCAAACAGCAAGTGACAAATTCACATTTGGTAAGATTATTTTAACCTGAAAATGAGTTCCCTATTGACGAATGCAGTTTTGCTAATTATTTTTACCTTTACTAACAGGTCCGAATAATATCGGACAAAAAACATACAACGTATCCATGCAACGACGACTCTTAAGTTTCCCCCTGCCATGGCTTTAAAATTACCTACAAATGTTGATTTAAATGCAACAGAAGTGAGCAGATTTTCGCCTCAAAGAGAAAGAGACATATCGGGCCCAGTTATAAATTTTTGCTACAAGAAGCAAAAAGCTTTTGGAAAAATTGACATTACAATACAAGCAGATCCCCATGCCAATAAATATGACTGTCGAGGTGCTGTCAGTCTTAACTCCTCAATGCAAAGTAATGTTCCCAGTCCATTTAGTGGAAATCACACCCATCTGAATATGCCTGGTTCACAGTGGGGTCAGGGGCATAAATACCTGTCAAGTAATTTACAAAGTGCTCATTATTTGACCTTGAGGAATGAATATCGGGCAAAAGCAAGGAATGACGGTATGTATATGATCAGATGCTAATTAAGTATATACCTACATTGCAAAGTACAACAGCACATTATTTACCATAGGTTGGATATAAAATCTAGTCTTTAACATTTAATATTTCCTGCTGTAAAAGTAGTTTCATGAATACTAGTTTGTGCTATGATTTAAATACCATGTAAATAAAATGTTACGCAAATATTTCTGAACCTGATATTGTAGGTGTGTGGTCCTGGGGCTAAGCTTTTTAGTATTTGCTTTCTAAACAATTTATTTTTCAAGGCCATTCGTAATGCTTACTTATGGTGAGTATAACATAGAACATATAGCAGCTAGTGTAGTAGTTCCAGCAGGAAAACATCAGTCTACTTCAGAATATTGAAACATTTCTTTTAGTACAGCAATAATACAAAATATCATTTTCTATTCAGTTCAAATAGTAAATAAGCTATTATTTACTACTTAATGTTATTATGCATTACTACTATTTACTAATATATTAGTAAAATTATTACTGGTTTAGAAATTGCATTAATCAGTTAACTGAAATCGTTTTGTTTGGGCCATCTGAACATAGTTCCGTTGTTGTTTGAGGATGGCTTTTAAATCAAATGCTATCATTCATTTTTGACTTGACATGACTAAAGTCAAAATAGCCTTTCATGAAAATATCACCAATTTAATCATAGTATGTTTTTTTTTTGACGACCGGATGGCGTAGTGGTTTGTGTAACGGACTGCTATTCCAAAGGTCGCGGGTTCGATACCCGCTCAAGTCAAACATTTGTGTGCATGAGCATTTAATGTTTGATTTGGTCTGGGTGTTTCTATGTATAATAAGTATGTATTTACAAAAAAAAAAGGATATGTATGTATTTATATCAGCTGTTTAGTACCCATAGTACAAGCTTTGCTTAGTTTGGGACTAGATGGCGTTGTGTGAATGTGGTAGAATATATTATTATTATTATATTACTAAATTATTATATATTTCTAACCCTGATCCTTAACTACCAACTAATAATCATAAAAGTATGCACACCCATGGCTAGGATTATAAAAAATTGTGGAGAGCTATAGAAATTAGTGTGCATTACCACTGCAAAATAATTTCGAAAATAGTTATTTAAATGGTAGAAATAATTAGTTGTAAAACTTCTGTAATTGTTACCCACATTTTTAAATTTGTTGCACTTATAGTTTTTTCACAAAATTATTTTCTGCTGGGGTAACATTACCGCAGCCAGTTTTTTTTTTTAAAATTTGAGTATTGAAATAAATATTAGCTTTATAATTTCTTTGTCTAGATGAGGTAAATATTGCAACTTATTTTACATTTGTTTTATCTTTGTCTGCAAAGTTAGTTGGAATCCTGCTGGAGTAATGTTTGTGTGTTTGCTGGATCTGAAACAGGTAAGCTATGAATCTAAGTCTTTAGATGCCTCATTCAAAGTATTAGGATGTATTGAAGTGTTTTTATACCTAATCTTAGATATAATAAATAATCTTTAAATGGTGCATCATTTTTGTTTTTTATTGCACAGCAAATTGAAACTTATTCTTAAGAAGTTGTGTACAAAAGATGGTTAGAATCCGCTTACCAGTTTTAGAGATCCAACAAAGCCACAAACTTTACTCCAGCAGGATCTCGAATAACTTTGCAGACGAAGATAAAACAAAATATACAAAATAAGTTTCAACATTTACCTCGCCTAGACAACTAATTAAAATGCTAATATTTATTTTAATATTGTACATAAAAAGGAAAATGTCTGCCTGCAGTAACATTACCTCAGCAGAAAATGATTTTGTGAAATAACTAATGCAACAAATTTATAAATGTGCAGGATAATTACAGAAGCTGGCGACTAGTCATCTATAACATGTAAAGTACTATTTTCGACATTAGTTTGCTGGGGTTACGCACACTAGATATTAGGTAATTCATATCAATATATATTATTAAAATTTCTAGGTGATAGTGTATTATTAAGTGAAGTCTTATCTTTAGGGATTATTGTGAAATTTAGTGAGATTCTACAGATCACCTGTTGTTAAGTGACTGTCGCCGCCCATGGACACTTGCAATTTGGAAAACACAAGTGCACAGCCCGAAATGCCCTTCCCCGCCAGCTAGAAAATCAAATGTGCCATTGAAAGTAGACAATGAGAAAATGCTTTTTGTCTTTATACAGATAATCACGTGATATAATCAAAATTAACGTAATCAATATATTTACCTCTTTTTCAAAGCATAGCTGTTGCAATAAGGCATATGAGTTCAAATATGCCCACAACTGACGAATAAAGAAAAATTGAAAAAGGCTATAAAAGAGTATGGCTCAACAGTGATTATATTTCATATTGGCATCTCCCTGATTTCTTTGGGGAGCTGTTATCTTCTTATATCTAGGTATGTGTAGTGATAAATAAAACAAATATGTATAATTTTATGTATAACTTTGCCTTATCATGATCCTTTACCTGCATTATTAACCTAATCATTATTAGCTGAGTATTCATCATCATCAAATAACATTTACAATATATATTTTGTTTTCAGTGGCGTGGATTTAGTAGAAATACTAAAGTACTTCAATATTAATGAAGGAACAATATTGAATGCGGCTGGATCGAATGCAGGGCACATTTGTAATTTCATATGCAGTACATAAATTTTTTGCTCCAGTGAGGATAGCTATAACATTGACAGCCACTCCTTTTATAGTGCGATATTTAAGAAATATTGGCTTTTTTAAAACGAAAAAATGTCTGGTGGTGGTAGTAATTAAGTGTATGTATATTCATGTTCATATATAATATAATGTTATTAATAGATCTGTATTTGTTTTACTATATATTTTACTGTGGATATTTAATATTCTGTTAACGTCTAGCCGACTCTGATCAAACAGAATGAGCTACACGTGACGGCGTCGGCGAACGTCGTCGACGTCGTCGGCTAAACGCTAGACGGACGGCTAATGCAGTCCTGTGAGTGGGTTTATTAGTAACGTATTTAGTAGTAGCAGAGCAAAAAGTTTCAAGGAAAGCACAAAGTGGTGAAACGAAGTGAAGTGATGGTTTTCCATCGAGCAAATCAGGTCAGACTTGGATTGACCATCACTGAGAAAAGAGAAAGAACGAAAAGCTTCAAACTCCGAAGCACCACATCAGCGACAAATTCTTCAACTCTTCAACGATCTTCATTCGGTTCTAAGTAAACTTGCCTAAATGGGTATTGTGATCTGAGGATCTAAATGGATCATCAACCGAGTATTGTAGGCGTTTAGATGAGAGGTCAGCACAAGATCCTACAATTAAGGAACATGGCTTTCGGCACTGGGAATCACGTAGGCGTTGATACCCAGTATTTACATAGTTTTTACTACTAAGATTGTGTCGTTTTTTTTCTACAAACTACATAATACTCTTGTAATAATGACAATTGACAAATATCACTTATATTTTAGGGTTTTTGGACTTATTGCTAAAAGAAAGTCGTGTGCAGTGTACATACACACCTGGCTTCTTTTCCGCAATAGCGCAAGACAACATAATCTTGTTTTTTTTTATTGCTTTGTACGCTGTTACAATAATAAAAATGTTTATTTAACAGACAGTAAATACACACACATTCTTTCAATGGAGACACATTGTTGTTTAGACATTTAAAGATGTATAAATCTAATAGTACTGTGAAACTGTTTTGCCAAACTAGGCTATTGCCTGTATGTTGGGAGACAGCGTTCAGTCAGTTCACCAATATTAACCAGGGACGTGAAAGTCCTTGTAGTGTCTTTCATAACGGTTTGAGGTAAGTTACAAAGTAAGTATTGGGAGTATTTTTAAAATTAAGTTAATATTCATTTGAACACACATGTATGCTTGTGTATGAGTGTGTATCAGTGTGTGTGTGCGTATGTGTGTTGTATGTTTGTTTGTATGTGTGTTTGTGTGTGTGTGCGCGCGCGCTAGTGGGTGTATAAGAAAGAGTAAGTGTGAGTAAGTATGTGTGGTATGTGTGTGCGTGCGCATGCTGGTTGTATGTGTTTTGATGAAAGGTGGAGTGTTGTTTTGCAAGTTACGAGATTACTCAATATGTTTAAGTAGCTCTTCTGTCCTTTGATAGTCGAGTTGTTGTAAGCCAAGCAGTCACTTTGTTTTTTACTTCATGTCTATTTATGCGGGCAATGTTCAGTTTTATGTTTGCGATATTGTAAACCTTGCAGCTTAGACTATAAAATTGTCGTCTACCGAAAGAAGTCTTGCAAGGAGCAGGAGAGTAGATAGGTTTCTTGCTACGTTTTTTTGGGTTAGGAGCAGGTACAGACAGATGCATTCTTAGAATGAGTTGAAGCACATAGAGCTGTCGGATAGTTAGGACGTTGGAATCTGGATATAACTACTCGGTGGGGAATCTATACGGTCGTTTGAGTAAAGTTTTCAGCACCGCTCTCTGCGCTCGCTCTAGTTTTATAAGATAAGTTTTGGCGGCCCCTCCCATGTTGTAATACAATACTGGATAATTGATTGGTCCATTGCAGCGCTAAGTACCTATACAAGCTTAAGTTTTTCTTACGGCATTGTATCACTTAGAGATTTAAACACGTGGATTAAGCGTCTTACGCGTGTTGTCATCAAGTTTATATGTTTATCCCATTTAAGCCACTGTCTATCTGAACACCTAAATATTTAGCTGATTCGGTTTTTGTGAGTTCGTAACAGCAACAAGTTTGTGGGGACAAGCATATATGGACTTTGACAGAAAAATCTTGTGGAGGTTTGGTAAGTTTTGTGATTGAGAAGGGAACGTAGTGTGTTTTGGACAAGTTTAGGGTTAAAAGGTTTTGTTTAGCCAGCTCAATAATCAATTGTGGACTTAGTATAACAGCGCGGATGTTAGCGGGTGAAGATCATTTCGGTTGACATATGAGCGTTGATCATAATGGGTGGCTTCGTGGCGCGCCAGCCCCGCCCACAAGGCCCTTCTAACCTCTTTCAACTGCTCTGTGTTCATAAATTCCAATCACAATTTCGTTCACGATCAATGATTATTTACAAGGTAACACAGGTACCTACATAATAATAGGTTTTTTCTCTATGAAGTTGTTTTTTTTTTTTTCAGATTACCATTTTCAGATTTCACTATCTGTGGATTGGCGCATTGAAATTCAAAATAAATTTTATTTTCGAAAGCAATGTTTTTTTTTTAATTTAAAATTCCTGTATTTTACTTTAGATAGTGTTTTGGTTGATTTTGCGAAATTGTTGTACTTTTTGGTGCCTTGGATAAACTGAAAATTCTTAAAATTTTCGAATAAGTTCCTACGTGGAAATACCGCTTTGCAAACAACAACGTACGTACGTGCCTAATACTGCTTGCATAAACATGTTCCATTATTGGTTCAATCGTTTTAGATCTGGAAATTTCGACCAGACCAGACCAGATATAGTCGACAACGACAAATATTGAAGGCGGTAGTGGAAATAGAACCAACTCAATTTACGGCTGAGCTTGCGCTTTGTTAGTTAGTGTCAAAACGACATTGAAGCACTTGCGTCCAATAAGAAAGCTAAAAAAACTAGATAAGTGGGTGCCACACGAACTAAGCTACCATCAGCGAGACTTACGTTTCGAAGCATGCATAGCACTACAATGATGGAGACGCTCGCAATTCAACGACTGGGCAATTGCTCTTCTCCATTGCTTTTTCCTGACAACACGCGAGCTCACACTTCACAACAGACCATCGCAAAGTTAAAAGAATTACAGTTGGAAGCTCTCCATCACCCACTATACTAACCGGACCTCGTCCCAACAGATTTCTACTTTTCATACAAATCTCCAACTTCATAGGTAAATACCTAATAACACATCTCTCCACACTTTTTTAACAATGAAAGGTGCTTTTAATGCTGATGGAGGAGTTAATGCTTGTGTCTGTTTGCGTGTTTTGTGGCAAACTGACTAAAATGACAAAGCCAGTTCCAGCTATTGGTACAGATGGAGTGGGGGAAGAGTTAAGGGTTCCTTAAATTTAAATTATTATAGGTACAACACGTAGGTACTACAAGCATGTTAAGATCATGCCCGTGACGGTTTTACTTTTATAGCAATAAATAAACGATCTTAAAGTCTGAATAAACTGATTGTAAAATACTTTTTTTCTCAATTTACCTACAGTTACAGCAAGTAGGGAATACAACTTAAATTGTTCTCGCCCTTTGATCCTAAAGGGAAAAAAGGATGGGCCGTCCCTATGAGTAAGGTGTATATTTCTGCACCCTAACTTTTTTAAGTTTCGGTCCTCTAACAAACAACCAAAAGGAACTTTAGCTGAGGATACATTTCAAAGACGTATTTAAGTTAACGTTTATAACGGTTCAAGACCTGATATAGACGTCAATAACAAATGATAACAGTGTCCAACGTTTCACTATTACTACGTAATTAATTTTGTTTATTTAATTGATGTCATAAAGTAGATACTATGATCATTACCAATTTGTATTCGATACGACAGAGTCGCAGTTAACGGTGCCTACATTACTCTAAGTACATTATTTACAACAAACTCAAAATGTTAAAGTTTAAAGTGAAATGCGTATTTTTTATATTCTCAGGATTTGTGCTATTATATGGATTTTGTCATGACAGGTTAGTGAATAGCGTACCGTGTAGGTACAAATCCATACACGTTTGATATGATTTCATAAAAGTTGAGATTATTAAGCTCAACGAGACCATAAATAGAAAATACTAGCTGTACCGTGCCATTAGCACATTGTGGTTGCATTGATGAGAAATGAGTAACAAAATTGACTCGCAAAATAGATAACAACCTTTGAAGCGGTTTGTATGTCATGTCAAAAGAGCTCAATCGCTGCAAAACTATTTCTGAAGAGTAAACAATCTAACTTAACGTTTATATTTATATAAAATAGACATATAGAATTAGCTTCATCTTGAGCATTTAGAAAAAAAAACATCATATAGGAATTAACTGGTATTTGCTAAATTCTGTTAAAATACGTCCTCACAACAATTTCAGTCGTGTAAACACACCCTGAACTAAGTAGGTAATTAAAGCTTTGAATATTATTCAAAGCTTCAATTACTGCATGTGAACTAAATGACCCAATGCTCTGTATCTAATCAGTAGGTAATAATGACTATTATGTAATGCTGGTTAAGACATAGCCTCTAGTTAAAGTATTATGAATAGGATACACATACACTATAATCATGTCGCTGTGAGATTGTATACTGTTTGTCGTGACTGACTGGCTTTCTCTAATTTTTAGGTTAATATTATCATCTAGATAAACTTCTAAATTATTTGGCACCAACAATACCATATAAAAAAGTGCAAATTCAAGCCTGGTGTACTTACATAATATTTTATTTCTTTCCGTTTCTTATTTTAGATTTAACTAGTAACTTTATGTACAAATAATGTAGAGAAAGACTTACTAATCACAAACATTGTTGCTGAGAGCATTGACTTGCTGACAGACCTCTTGTTCGGGACTCGAGTTCATTTACGGACAGGTCAACGGCTTAGATCATATAGGTTCGGTGTAGATCACTATTTCGCATCTAACTCAGTTCTCTCTATTATTTTTGCCAACTCATAAATAGAACTCATAAATATACAATCAACCGACAAATGTAAAACACAATAGCGTTTTATTCTCATTGTTTAAGACATTAGTTATTCTAAGTACTAGAACTTTGAGTTCAATGACTGACTGACAATGTTGTTGATTCCATCTTGCGTCTCTCTGCGAAAAACACAAATACCTACCGGTATTGCTCTATGCCCAAAATAAATAAATAGTAACTTAAAAAAAACCGGCCAAGAACTTGTCGAGTCACGCCCAATGTACAGGTCCGTATTTACCTATCACAATAATGCTAACTAACACGACCGATCTTTGGTGTTTTTGCTGAGTGTTTAACGGTGTCGGCGGCACATGAACTCATGACTTCTAAAAACGGCTCTACATGGGACGATGGTAACTGAAAAAGGAGTTCTTGCTTCTCAATTTTTTTTTTTTTTTAATCTAAGTAATAAAGTTGTTAGTAGGTTGTAATAAAGAATGATAACCAGCGTCGTGTATTAATTGTAATACTGCTGCTATTGTCGTTACTGTAATAGTCTTTTAAAATCTTGGACCCATCTTGGACCGATTTTCATCAACCATAGCTAAGAACACTCCCGACTAATTCACCTTACACACAGACACTTCAAATTTATAACACCAACACCAAGGGGTTAAAAATAAAATAGATTTAACTAAAATATATACATATACTTATATACACGAGAGAAGGGCGTTTCGTTATTTTCATATCACATTACCAGTTTCGGCGGCCTACGTCTAATTAGTTGGTCGACTATTACTCGTAAACTAATAAAGCCTTACTTTGCCGTGATAGTTTTTGTAACGAAGTTCCTTATCTCGCGTTACACGCTCTGAGCGGTTGGGAGAGCGAGACCGAAGAATGTGTAACAAGACTTTTTCCGATACTTATTGCTATACTTCGTTCCGACCGTTTCCTACCGAATTCGGTAGGTATGTATTACTGTGAACTCCATAAGGCGAATTTTCGTATGGAAGTTCGGTCACAATTCCGTTCCAACCAACTTTCGATCTCACAACTGTCATAAAAGGTATTTTCGTAGTAAAGTATTAAACATCTAACGTTGACTTGATGTAATTATATTGTATTGTAACCAAAATTGAATAGGTAATCTGCTAGTCTCAGTAATACTTTACTATTTTACTACGAAAATACCTATTATGACAGTTGTGAGATCGAAAGTTGATCGGAACCGAATTGTGACCGAAACTTTTATTACGAGACCAAACGGATACCTTAATCAAAATATTGTCTTCACAAACCTTTATAATTTTTAAAGACCTATCCAATGACACCCCACACCATAGGATGGATGGATATAAAAAATAACATTCCCACATTATAGGTTCGTACTAGAGTTACCTACCGGTTTTTTTTTTTATAAGATTTTATTTTACTACTTTTTCGGCTTGTTAGTGTTGTTACGTATTAGGGTTCGTTGATTTGGAATAATAAACCTGACGACTAAAGAGACTTTGTTATACCACGCTCATAGACGTTCAAACAGTACCGAATGTCCGGACCTTAGATGTAAGGCCGGTTTAAAACTAATCCGTTTAAAATGAAAACAAACTGTTTAAAACCGAAATAAACCATTTTTTCGATTTAAAACGGTTGGTGTTGATGACTATGTTTTTCTTAATTATTTTATGGATTTAATCGAGGTAGAGATTTGACGGAGTACCTATAAACTGTGTAAAGATTTTTTAAATGTGTGATATACTTGGCGGGTTTAGTTCTAGTTGGTCCGTCCGACTATGCGTAGGTATAACCTACCTAGTCCTGTCACGTTTCCCGTCTTTTGATATCCTGGCGGATATGGACACGGCCGCAACAATTTATAACGATTGGGCTGATAGGCGGGGGAAGCCCGCAGATTCACATACTCCTGGCTCCTACATCCCTAAGGAGCCGGAGATCCGAAGGGATTTTTCACCCCGTCAACAAAAAAAAAAGTTATAAAAACCTACCTAAGTTATAAAAACTGTATTTATAAGTTAAAAGCATTTTTTAATTGTTTTCAAACGATATAAATAATCAATTTGATTAGGCTTAAAACCAAACTCACACTCTCGCGCTCTCGTTGAAGTCACTCGCGACGGCCTTGAAGACAGTCTTGTCTATTTCATGCGCAAGGACGGACGGCAAAACGGAAGGCATCGTGTTAAGCCCGGGGTTCTCTGACCATCACTCGCGTACGATCGCCGACCAACGCGTGTCCGCCGCCTGTGGCGTACGCGTGTAGCAAAATGAACGAAAATATATTAACATTATTTAGAGAAGAAGTGGCAGATGAAATTCTGATGTTATCAAAGAAAAGAAAAAAAACTAATTCAATAAGAATTCACAAAATCACCGACCCACAACTAGTTGTTTGATACATCGATCGATAAAAATAAAAAAAATATAAAAATAATAAGCAAATCTTCTTTTTTCCTTATTAAAACTCATTTTAAAGCACAAATCACCCTCTAATTGATTCCGCAAAACAAGGCCACAAAGGCGCGCAACACATACTTGCTGTAGCTAGCAGACATTAGTAACGACCAAGTTTGTGACAATTTAAAATAGTTTAATTTCAAAATATAATAGAAATGGCTTCAAAGTCAAGTAAGACACACAGTCATCAAAAAGATGCATAACATTTAATCGGTAAGTATTTTTTTATTATTATTAACCTATTTCAAATACACCGGAATTCAACTTATACTGGTGCAAAGTAATAACAATAAAACACCCGTTGATGTCTTTTTAAAATGTTCCTTTCACTCATTAGTTGTCTTTACACATATAGTGCCACCAACTTATCTGTTCAGTAGACGGCGTCGCTACTGGAGCGATAGGTGTTGCTATTTAAAAAAATTGTCAGGAGTTTAGGGTATTTAAAACATACGAAATCAAGTGAGCTGTCATTTTAAATATTGATCGAAGTTTATTAATTAATGTTTAAATATCATAACTATATAATTTATAAATTAGTTGAAAAGAAAGAAATATTTTGTTTTGCAAATAGATAATACGATTTATTATATCAAACTAGTTACATTATATTTTATAAAAATAATTGTGGTCGTGATCTCTAAGTTCCAGTGGCTGCACCCCAGGAATCCCAATAGAATATGATGAACTGGTGGTGGGGCAGTCTGGTGATACCCACGGCTCATCATCTGAATCACTTAAATCGCTTTCACTATCACTCTGTAATTGAATAATGAAAGGTTCATCTAAATGAGCATCCTTTTTTCTGTACTCACATGCAATTTTTTTCACGTGTTGGCAGTGGTTTTTCCACTCTGCCGAACTGATCTTGCAAATGCATTTTCAATTAACTGGGGCATTTGAGCACTTGACTTCCCAACATTTTGCTCTGCAACATTTCTCTTCATTGAACTCCATATCATTTCTATGGGGTTCAAGTCGCAATGATATGGAGGCAACCTAAGCACAGAATGACCGTGGCTTTTTAATAAATTATCAATTTCGTATTCTGGAGCAGGTTTGTTTCTTTTATTAACTCCAGCAGCTGAGGCTTTGTCATTTGCTCTGAAAAGTCAATATTTTTTTCAGATAGCCACTCTTGCATGACAGCCTTAGTGTGGTTAGAGTTAGGACACTTATTTATGCAAACGCTGTGATAGGGCGCATTGTCCATAACAATTAGTGAGGGTTTATGTAGGTTCGGTAGTAATTTTTCCAGAGTCCACTTTTTAAAATTATTGTTGTTCATTTCGTCGTGGTAATCACCACTTTTCGTGTTTGATTTAAATAAAAGCAGAGCATTCTCCACAAAACCTTCTTCTCCCCCTGCATGAACTATAATCCACCGGTGACCTTTAGAGACTGGTTCCAAATCACCTTCGACATCAGGGCCTTGCCAGCACTTGCCAGTTGAGTGAGATGAGTGTATGTAGGTTTCATCTAAATAAATAACTGGTCTATCCTCACCACACTCATTATTATGAATTTTTTGTAAATAAGTAGCCCTCCATGCGACTATATCATTACGCTCA